CTTCTCAGGCTTCCTCATTTTTTTCACTATGATTTCATTTCATGGAAATTATAGTATTAATTTAAGACAAAAGAGATATCAATTCAGTTTAGACATATTCATGCTGAATGAGTTTAAATTTACTGTGGTGTTTTTGCTTACGAAATCCAGTGGCACCAAAGATTTATTTTTTTTTCTAAATCCACGAGTACTTTAAAAACCACTTTGAGGTCCAGCCCTGATGGCCAAGTGGTTAAGTTTGGCATGTTCTGCTTTGTCAGCCCTGGTTTGGTTCCCAGGTGCAGACCTACACCACTCATCTGTCACTGCCATGCTGTGGTGGCGGATCACATACAAAAAAAGGAAGATTGACAACAGATGTTAGCTCAAGGTGAATCTTCCTCAGCAAAAACAAACAAAAAACAAACCACTTTGAGGTTGCATCATTATTTCCACTACCATTTTAGATCAATTCACACTCGTATATGGAACCACCTCTCAATTCCTATGGGCCTCTTTAATTTTTGCTTTTCATCAGCACTTTTTTGGGTGGAGACATATAAGGAAACAAAAGCTGTCTACTTCTGAAGTCATCAGAGCTCGCTTTAATTCTATAATATAGGTAAACTTTTTCAAAATGTGTTGAAAGTTCATCAATGGTCAGTTTCCTAGATGAAAGATGTGAAGTGTTTCTGAAAATACGTTATGAAGAGAGAACCCAGTGCAATCCAGCAGCTCTGAAAGATGCCAGGAGCAGTCCCCACAAGGGGGCAGATACAGTTTCACTTTGTGAATGAGTAATGATTACAACTAACTGTTCCCGAGGACCCATTGTGTCTAGGCACATTGATATTATTCATCTCATTTAAGCCTTAGGTGGTCCCATGAGGTGTTTTCACTTCATGAGATGTCATGTTCAAATATATCATTGGCCTCCCTGGGCCACATGCTAAGAGGTATCACAGCTGGTACTCAAACCATGGCTTTGCCCCCAGGATCCTGTACCTCTTATCTACAGTAAAAAAGAAATTTGAAACCCCATAACACCACCACTTCTTAGCTAGGTGTTTCATCAAGATGTTCCCACCAACCTCCTTCTCCTTTTCTTCCAAAATTTCGAGAGAGGAGCAGCAAAGGAGTGGAGCAAAATGCAATGTGGGCAAACATGTCCTGTGACATTGGATAGCTCTTTTTATAGTTCCTCATTTTTTTTGTTTGAAACTTAGTGATTTTATAAGTATCTTAGAATTTAGAGAAAATAAATGATGGTCCCAAAGTATGTTTGAGACCTAGTGATCTCACTGTGCTCCAGAGCCAGTGTTTGGAATTTGTAATCAGATGTGGTTTGAGTTCCATCTTTCTACTACCTACCTGTGTGACCTTGGATAAAATAGCCCGGTGACTTGTTATTTTTAACTTTAATCTGAATGTTTTGTGTGAGGTAAACACAGCTCTGAAGTATCTCAAGAGCAAAGAATGTATTTCATATTTTGCTTCATGCCTGAAGTTTTATTCCAAGGCCGAGAGGATTATCTATACATTTTATCATTATTTGGAGAATTTCTAGAATTTGAAGCAGCTTAATAGTTCTTCTAAATGTTGTGGAGATATTGCTTTATGCTCCACTCAGTTTTTTTCCTTCCTTTCAGTTAAGGCTCGTTATTCAGTATCACTCAATACCTACATGTCATATACATTTTTTCCTAAACGTCATTAATGCCTGGAAGATGGAGAAGATTCTGGTTATTTAAAAATTCTTATTCCTTCATTGATGGAGACAGTTTAAGAGTCTGTTTTCCACATCAAAGTAGATATGGTTTTTGAATGAGCATGCTGCTCAAACTTTAGCAAAAATATAGGAATCATTCATCATAATGTTGTGTGTGTGTTGTAACGGACTGAATAATTTTGTGGTTAAAGTTTTACTTGTAAGCAATGTATATACACATATATTAAATAGCTGTATATCACTATAAAGATATGCCACAGATGTATAACCCTTTCTCCTTATATATACATACGCATATGTATATAATCAAATACCTGTCTGCAGTTCTAGTAAAAAGAAGAGGCACATTTAATTTCTGTGTTGACTGTTGACTGAATGCTTCCAGTAGCAAGAACACTGTAAATTTAATTATTACATAGAAAAGAAAAAACCAGCACCTCAGACTGATCAATGTTTTAATGTTGTCCAGATACCAAATGTCATCTAGAATTCAGATATTTGGCACATGGATCTGAAACCCAACTATATCTTTCATTTATTTTTTTTTCCTGGCAAAAATGATGTTCTTATTCATTCATATAAAAACCCATTTTTATCTTCCTTTCTTCCTTCCATCTTTCTTTCCATCTGCCTTTTTTCCCTCTCTGACTGCCTGCCTTCTTTTATTAGAGTGAGTACAGGTTCTACTAGTTAATGGTACCAATTCATAAGTCAGAAACCAAATTCCTTTTTTTGTAATAATGTCGTTTGAAAGAACGACTTTCAGTTACTATTTGTGGGAGAGGGGAACAATACTATCTTTTTATTTTATTTTATTTTTTTTTAATTTAATTTAATTTAATTTTGTGTGTGTGTGTGAGGAAGATCAGCCCTGAGCTATCTGCCAATCCTCCTCTTTTTGCTGAGGAAGATTTGCCCTGGGCTAATATCCATGCCCATCTTCCTCCACTTTATCTGGGACACTGCCACAGCATGGCTTGACAAGCGGTGCATCGGTGCTCACCCGGGATCCGAACCCAGGCCACCGCAGCGGAGCGTGCACACTTAACTGTTACACCACCGGGCCGGCCCTCAATACTATCTTTTTAATGAAAGAAAAGTCAAAATAGTTTATTACCAAATGTCAGTGCAATAAGCAATAACATAATTCCACTTACATTATTTGACATTTGCTTTTGCAGAATCAATATATTCCATAAGCTGGAATTTCTCTACAGCAGAAAAAAGACGGTAGTAATCATGGAGAAATCTAGTCCATACGTTTGTGGAAAAAATATTATTTTCTTGGTTTTCAACTTGCTTTCAGAAATAATTGTTTTAACCTCGTAATTCACTATCCAGTATGGAATGGATATCTACTGCAAGAAAAATGGAATGAGGTGATGACTACCAAGGTGCAGGGCTCGAATTTTTTCTGTCAGAATTAATATGTGCACAACACCGAGCATGTTGATCAAGTAAGAAAACTACCACAAAGGATCAGTGAGTGTAGTGAGATTTGTATCTTCAGCGGCTGTTTCTTGGCTTTGCGAAGGAGTTATTGCCTATCTGGATCCATTAGTTGATCCCAGGAAAAGCTGCTTTAGTTCATTGTGTCAGTGGAAATATCATAGGAAGTGGTAACATGATAATAAATACTAGGCACTGAGATCATTCTCATATAATAAGAATAAATGTATATGGCAAAAAAAATCCCACTGGAATTACAGACTATTCCAATCCTGGCTGACTTGTTGGAGAGAAAGAACTCATTCCCCTTCCCTCTTTACCATCCCTTCCTCATCTAGTTTCCTATTTACAGTTAAGATTGCGTTGTTTCTCCCAACTCTTGAAATTGCCTTTTGGAGGGCTGACCTCTCAGGTAAAGTAGTGGTGGTTTTTGTTTTCTCTCTTTCAGCTGCCATCCTCCTCAAACTAGAGCTAAAAACATGGCTGGGTGGAACCTTCCAATTTCTTAGACTGGAAAAGAACTTAAACCAGTTGCAAAAGATATTAAGAGAAAATGAAACCCTGTTTGTTGAGGGATACTGTTTTTCATCATTTTGCCCATTGTCTAGAAATGGTAACTTCTTAGCATACCAGTCAGAGTGGCTGGAACTTGCATCCATGTTGATGTGTCATTTTCCTGAAAGAATGGAAAGGCCTCTGGCGTGAACAGCAGCAGGAGCAACATTGAAGAAAAGGACAGTGGAGTGGCCTTTGCACAGCAGAGGCAGACAAAGGTCGTTAACAAGCTTTTTCCTGGACGTTTCTCTTCAAGTCGGGGAGAGGTCAGTTGAAGAAGAGCTCACCTACTACGTTCTTCCGCCTGAGTCATCACCCACCCCTCACCCTCGAATCAATGCCCCTTACTTCTCTCCTCCCCCCAATTCCGCTATATTCCACCACTAGTTAGGCTTTAAAAATGCTCATTTCTACCAGTGTTTAACAATTGCAACAATTTAATGCCCCCCCAGCCACTCCCCACCCACTCATGTCCCCCAAAATAGCACCATATTTCCATAAATTAAAACTACTGTGTGTGTGTGTGTGCATGTGTGAATGTGTGTTTGCATTTGCATGAAAAAAACAATTTTAAAAAAAGAACAAAAACTGGAGATTTTTGCATTTTTGGTGTTTTTTGTATTTGCGCAGACCATTTTAGGATTTTCAGTCTCAACAAAACACTATTAAAACAAAGAATCTAGTAAAATATTTGTGCATGTACTGCTAAACAATTCTAGCAATTTTATTAAGCAATACCTTTATTATTTTTTGAATATTCTTAACAGACTGGAACAAAACATTTTTTTATTCAAAACAAAATATGCATACTGTACGCATGTCGCAGGGTTAAGTATGATGCAGAGATTAAAGTTTGTTTGAACAAAAACAAATGCCTGGGGGAATTTCATAGCTATAAAGTTAATAACTAAATTTTGTTCGCTAAGAGGACTTTTTCTATGGTTTTCCTTCATCTCCCAGCTACACATCAAACATATCTGAAGTGCACTTCCCAAGTGTAGTTAGAGAATAGGAAGGAATGTAAAGTGTTTTTTTTTTAATTATTCATTTTGTTGTTTGTTTTTTTTAAAAACAGCCCTTATTAACTCTTCCTTCCACTGATTCTACTGTAAACTCATAAAAGCCTTTTTTAGAAAGCAAATTCATAGACACTCAGCAGGTGAAATGTTTCCACGAAAAGAAAACATACAAACGGAGCGATCAGATTTCTCCTCTTTTCTTCAACTATCTAGAGCATGTTAGAGTGATAAAGTTTTTGCACTTGAATGAAAATGGCTAATCTATTTTCTTTAAAGAAGTTCCTCTTGTGTGATAATGCAGAATTGCATACACTTTATACCTGGAATAATTTAAAACCATATGTTGGGGAAATACTGGGGTAAAATTGTATATATTCTGTATAGGGCAGGTGTTTCAGCATCTCTACGATCTCCTCCACAATAATAAAGGAGGCAAAAGAAATCCAGATTTGTGTCCTCAGTCTCTTTGTTCCCATTCCAATGGCCAAAATGTGCTCCTAAATTACTGCAACAGAACTGAAATTGCAACGAAAGCCCACTGCAGTCCCCCAGGAAGGGCCTGCTACCTCTTCACATCCCGACGCTAGGCGGCGCTCCGAGCCACCCGACCAGAGAGAAAGGACTGGGCCTGGGGGAACGGGAGCTGGAGCAACAGAGCTCCTGGTAGTTTTCTTTGCTTTCATTTTGTTTTCGACATAAAAATGTGTTAACTGTCTGATTCCATCTACTATGGAGAGCACTTGTTCAGCTAAAAAGGACCCCCCTTGTTCTGCTCCGTTGCGGGTTTGTGCAACAGCGGCTCAGAGGCCCCCCAGAGCGTGCACGCCCACTCACTGTGGCTACACGGACAGAAGCAAGCGATGTTGTCTGCTGAGGGGAGAGAAGAGGGCCAGGGAGGACGGGCCGGGAGGGCGTCGGTTCCGTGGGGAGGAGGAGAGTTAGGGAATTTTTTTGTTTTTATTTTCTGTTTTCTTTTTTTTGTCTTTTTTCTTTTTTATGATTTTTTTGTTGTTTTTTGCTATACCGTGAGGTCATAGCAATCATTCCTCTAATAGAAACTGACAGGACGTAGAGACAGAACTATCTGATGAACACACACAATGACTAGAAATATATATATAGAGAGAGAGACAGTGAAAAGACTTAGTTTACCTCTGAGAAACCATCCCCAAAAATAAATCCTGTATTAACAAGTGCAAAAAATAAACAAATAAACCCAAATCAAAACGAAAGCAAATAAAACCTCCAAACATTAAAACACAGTGTATAAAATGGTGTGAGAAATTTAAGTCACTCGACAGCCTTTTAGTCAATAAAAAGCTGTGTTTGTGTCCTTGTTGGGATTCAGGCCCATCTTTTTAAATTTTACCCTAAAGGCCTTGCAAGAAGTGACTGGAGGGTAAAGGCACCCCGTCTCTGTCGCATCTGACAGCAGCTGCGTTGTCGTGGTGGGCCAGCTGCGGCTCTGGGGACGCTGTCCTTCCCTTACTCCTCGTTGGTCGAGCTTTCTTTCAGCGTGTTGATGCCTCCGAAGCTCAGCGCCGTCGTGTTCTGTGCTGCCGAGGCTGTGAGAACTGTATGTAAGAGAATCAGTACAAGAACACACAGTTTGAGTCTGCTGTTGCACAGTCTTGTTGCTGATGAAACTGGGAGCGACGTCCTGTGACAGGAGCCACTTTTTTCCACCGTCCCTTTGGATGGGCTGCTTGATTGCTCCTCTCTCCTGACATCACAGCATTCTGGTTCATCATTGGTTAGAAAGGTTTCGTAGAGCCCTGCAGGGTGAAGAAAGGGGACGTCAAAAGGAGAGCAGACCTGCAGGAAGCGCTCCTAGCCCAGTGAGGCTGAAAGTTTAACACTCTGAGCCACAAGTTCTTACAAGCAACTCAACGTTTTCTAAAGCAAAGTCAAGTCAATGCAATCTGGATCAATAGTCAACCATGCTCTCAAACCAGGACTTAAAAGTTCCTCGCTGTGTTCTTTTTATATTCCTGGTGGTCAGACCATGGAAGTTCTGGGTTGTGATGAATATAGAATGAAAGATTTCATTAGGTTGAAATCAGAACCTGAGGTTCTGGATCAACTTGGTGACCAAGGAGATTCAACCATCCTTTTTCTTTAACAGGAATGTGATTAATTAATGCAATGCATAGAGTAACATTAACTAGTTATGTTAAGTGAAAAAACCAACAAATCATAACATCATAGCTATAGGAACCATGTTTATAAATCACTTCCTCCGGTAAACCTTACCATGTCCTATATCTTCCTTTCTTGGTGAGTGGGCATAACTATTTCCTTTTGATTTAGTTCCTACCTTTTTCTCTTAGTTTCCATTGGCTATTCTATTGATGACTACCTAAATGGAAGCCTTTAGCATCTTTTGCCTGGACCATTGCAGGAGTCTCTCTGTTCTTGGTCTTCTCTCTTCCACGATACCTTCCAGAAGTGCCTTTCAGTGACCAGCTGTCTCTCTCTCTCTCACTTTTATTCTCTTTTCTTACTCTTCCCTTCTCACAGAATCTCTTCTCTTTCTCCCTTCTTCCTCTAAAAATACACATTGTTCTTATTTTAAAATTGATAAATGGATATGTGGGAAACTTTCAAAGTGGTGAAAAGAAGAAAACATCTGGCTATCTATAATCTTTCCAACCTTGTTTCTTGCTATATTACATACAATGTTTTTATATAGTTGCATAAGCCATCTTTTTTTTACTTGACTGAAACATTGTCTCAAGAGTGTTAAAATAAAGTTTCTACACAAATTTTATTATGTTACTCTCAAGCTTTAAAAACTTAAAAATGAGGATGGAGTAGTTGTAAAGATTAAATACAATTTTGTATGTAAAATGCTAGGCACAGTGTCTAGCACAGAGAAATAACTTGAAAAATGTGGCTACTGTTAATAATAATAGCTATTAATAGTGTCTCATGCCTCCACCTAAATAATAAAATCTAAAATATGCTTTCCTCCCTCTCCAGACTCATTGCTCAGTGCTCCAGCCATCCTGAACGACTGGCTCTTCCCAGAATATGTGATACTTTCACCCATCTCTGTACCACTGGCCATGCTGCTTTTTCTTCCTAGAATTTTCTCCATCACCTCATAGACCTAACTCCCACTTATCCTTCAAGTTCAGCTCACATGAAATTCCCTGTGTGAAGCCTATCTATACTCACACTTCTGGGCTGCTGCTGCATTTTGTGTAACTTGTGTAATTTCAATAGAGCAATTATTATTTATTCTTTTAATCACAATTGCTCATTTTCATGTCAATTTCCGTACCCATCTGTCACCTTAAAAGCAAGAACTATATATTTTCAGCTTTGCGTTCCCAATGTGTACCAGAAAGCCTGAACAAAATAGATACTTAACAAGCACTTATTACATGAACAAACTCAATAAATATCTGATTAATAAAAAAGAATGTATTAAATAATATATATACACTGCAATCTTCAGTTTCTTTTAAAGAAATGACCAAGATATCCTTATAATGATGCTTACAATATTCATTTCTTCTTAGGCATTCAAAGGTAAACTTCACCTTCGCCTAGGTAGAATATGAAAAAAAACTGAATTAATGAGGTCTGTAGCTCTGACATTTATATTGTATGATATTTTCTTTTTTCATAAAAGATACCTCTCTGGAAGACTAATCACTTATTGAAGTATATGTTTTCCAAAATTATATTCTACAACGAAGAGAGTTTATGGTTAAGATTATAAGAATAGACATCTAAAGATCATTTATATCAACATTTTAGAATGCTAATAGTTAGAATATGTTTAACAATGTCGTCTGAATAAGAAGCTCTTCCAAAGTTGCTCAGAAGCTAGCTTGCTGATTTATAACTAAAGTCATTTCACAAAGAATAAGGCAGTTCATTCAGGTCAGTAAATGTACTCTTCTTTTTGACTGACAAAATTAATACTCTCTCTTTTTCCCGTGTCTATCTCTTTAATAAGAGTTTTTATTCAGAGTTATACATGCATGTATATTAACAATCATATAATTCCACAAGATATTTTACAAAACAAAAAAAAATTCCTCCACCTGCCGCATCCCAAATTTTTCCTTCTCTGAAGCAAACACTTAAACTTCTTTTAGCTGTTCTGTCTTTAGCTCCATTTCTGTAAATAATCTGTTTTATGCTTTTCTCGATTTTTCATTTTTTATCATTATCTATCGACTTCCCCCTAGGACATGTGAAGGTAAAACACTCATTCTTCTCCTTCTCCAGCTCACATGCACCCCCCCACTCCTCCATGGTTGTAAGTTCAATACTCAGCGTTCCCTTTATTAGCTTGTTGTAAAAACAATTCTTCACTCAGACATGTAGTAAACTGTAGTTTTCCGTTCCTGTACTGCTGCTTTTCCTAGAGCTAATAATTATCTTATTGTTTTCTATGTACTTACTAATTCATTCCCAAATACTTTGCCAGTTGTTTCAGTTGAATCAGGAGTTCTCTCAGTTTTAACTTCCTGAAGAAACATCTCCTAGAGTCTTTTACCATCTGGACTGGTTGCTTTTATGCCTGATGCCTAACTACCAGCCTGAAAACCCCAATGGACCATCCTCTTGGGGATGCTTGCGGCCTCTCTGCTGTGCATTTCCCATTTTCTGTATCCTCTGCTTCCTTTCTCATCTTGCTGGACCACAGCATCTAGTATCTTCATAAGGAAGAGCTCAAAGGAGTAAATTTCCGAGATGCTACATGCCTGACAATGTGTTTACTCTACCTCATATTTAATCAATTGTTTGGCTGAGTATGGAATTCTAGTTTGGAAATTCTTATCCTTCAGATTTATTTCAGCATTACTCCCATATTTAGTTGCTGGACCTCTGGGATCTGTCCTCTAATTTTCTTATCTCACCTCCCCTATTTTATACCGCTTCATCCCTTTGCTCTGCTTTCTGGAGGATTTGGTGAGCTTTATCATGTAATAATTTTATTGAATTTTTCCCTCTTTTTTTCCTATCACATTTTAATTTCCAAGAATTCTTTTATGGCCTCTGAATGGTGGGGTTTTTTTGAAGTGACTGTTCTCATTACATAGTTGCACTATATTCTTTTTTCACTCTGAGATATTTGCAGCACTTTTCTGTGTCGTGTTTTATTTCCTCCCTACCTAGGCTCTGTTTTCTCCAAGTCAGTTTTTTCTTCTTTTTTTGTCTCTTGTTTTTTATGTGGGAAGCCTGCACATTTTTGAATGCCTACGGGTATTAAAAAGTATTGGAATCTGGGCACCTAAGGAGGGTTGTGGGCTGTGAGCTGCACTGTAGGATGACCTGCCTGAACTGTTTAGATGGAGAAACTTAAAATTCTTCCCTTTAGGTTGATCAGATTTCCCAGAAAATATCCATTACATCTGTCCAGGAGGGTAAAGGCTGGCAGCCAGTTTTCTGAGAGCAACATGGGAGAAGGGGCTAGGGATGGGGGCGTCTCAATCTTCGGTGCGCGTACATTCATTTAATCTCCGTTCTGGTCCCCCAAGCTTAACTCCTCATGGTGTGACCCAGTTCAACAACTTTCTCCAACCATCTCCAAAAAATACTCCCCCTCCCACAAAGAAATATGCCAACAATTATCCCTGGGGTGTGGGGAGGAAATTGCTAGGTTGGAGAGGGGCGAATGGGCTATGGAGCGCTGACTGCTTCTTAGACAGATTTCCACCCAGTCCTCCTATTTTGTTGCTCTGAATTCCTTATTGAGAGCAGAGCACTTTATGCTCTCAATTCCGGAGTCTTCAGAGGGTCTTGGACGTAAATCAGGTTGATTCTTTGTTTCTTCTCTGCTGCTTTAGCATTCACTTTTCTAGGTTTCAGTAAATCTTTTAGCATGCATCAATTTTCTTTACAGTTTCTAAGAGATTTTGGTTGTTGTCTCCTTGTCCATTCTTCTATCTTTTTAGATTTCTACCTAAAAACAATTATTCTTCTGTGGAGTCTGCCTAGAAAAGGTTACTGTGCTTTTCTCTACCTCATTCTGCTCTGTACTGACCTCTGACTCACTCCTCCAGCTGGTCCTGCCGCCTGCAGGTGGATCCTGCCTCAGAGTCTCACCGTGGCTGAAGAGAGCACTCTTGCTTAAGGTTTCTCAGCCCCTGGGCAGCCGCCTCCGGTAATCAGGGCATCTGTGAAGGGCCAGCTCTGCTCCACATATTTTCCCTCTGCCGAATCCTAGTGCCTGGATGCCCTCACAGGTGTACCGAGAGTCCTTCTCAATAAACCACCTGCACACAGACCCGCCTCCTGGGGAAGCCTACCTTAGGCAGTTAACTCCTTCTCATCATTCAAAGAACTATAAGAACATATTTCCAAATGAAATAATTTCTCAAACAATAATCTCATAGAACAAATATATGTGTGATTGGGGTTAGGAAAGGTAAAAAGCAAGTTTTCTGTTAATGAAATGCTTTTCTGATACATTTTGCTTACAGAATGTTCTATTTGCAATTTCTGATGAATCATTGCCTGCTATTTGACATTGAATAATAATAATAATAGCAATTATTATTCTTATAGTACCAACGTCATGGAGTTTTTTTGAGGATTAAATAATACACATAAACTGTTTGGAACAGTGCCTGGCAGATAGTAAAATCTCACATAATTTTTCCTGTGCATATAATTATTCCTATTATAAGTTGGGATAAATAGTAGAATTAGAATTTATTATTAGGAAGGGTTTTAAAGAATATCTAATTCAAATTCCTTTTCTGTTTTCAGTTAGTTTAAGCCACTCACATAAAAATGTTATTTTTCATAG